CAGGGGGGGTGTTGGATGTGTCCGGCGCTGGGCTTGGTTGCGGTGCATTAGGCGCATTCATGGAGCGGTTAGAAGCCCTTGTCTGGGCCGGGGGCCATGGGCCAGCTTCCCAAGGGCCTGATTTTAGGCTCTAGGCTGGGCATCTTCCTGGAGCTGTGTCAGGTCGTCTCGTATAACACCATGCACCCTGTCCTCCGGTTAACGAGGAGCCGGATGCTTAACGAGTAGGCCAGCGGGGCTGGTGCTACATGAAGCGAACTACTGGGACGTGCGCTGATCGGCTCAAATAGATGCAAAGGTGAAAGAAACTGTAGCGCGTTAGGCAAACGAGATGGTTTCATTAGTGCTGTGGTCATTAGAGGGTAATGTATGTCCCATGGTTCGTAGGGTTGGAAGGGACCTCGAGGTCAAGGAAAGGGACCTCGGGGAAAATTAAGGGTGGAAGGGGCCTCAGGAGGTCATCTAGTCCAATTACAGCCAGATAGAAACCAACTCTAGAGTTGTTACACATTTTCAAGAGCTAACTTAATAGCTGGCTGTCTCTTTTTTTATAGCCGGATGGTCATTTTTATCCCATGATAATTACTTTGCATGTGTGGCCTGTCTAAATTTATTGCGCATTTCACCAATGAATTGTGATAATTACTTTGCACGTGTGGCTGGTTTAAATGTATCGCGTGGTTCACCAGCGTATTGTGAGATACTTACTTTGCACTCATGGCCAGTCTTACCTTGCATGTGTGGCTGGTGTAAATTTATTGCACGGTTCACCAGTGAATTGCGTAATATAGGTAACGTGCAGCAGGAGCCTTGCTCAAATTGATCATACACAATCTTATCTCTCTTGAGGGTCTTGACAGCACCTCTAGTGCTTCGCCGTTGGTTATTTCTACACCTGAATTCATATGTCTGAGGCTGGCTGGAGAGTTTAGCTAGAGCTGCAGGGCTGGGAGATGGAAGAGGGGTGTGACCAGGCCGGGCTGCCCGGAGGGAAGGATGGTTTGAATAGCGGGACATCAAGAGCATTAGAAAGGAGAGAGGGTCGTTAACACCTGCGGAGCAGAGAGATTAGCAGGAAGCAGGGCGATGATGGCAATAAGCCGTTCAGTTTGCCCCCCTGCGTGTGCTGGCACACGTGTGATCCGCTCCTGGTTGGCTGCACGTGGCCAGTGGGGAAGGGGTAGGGGAGGGGGACAGTCAACAGGGGGGTGTGTGTGTGCAAAGATGCATGTTGTATGCAAGCAACTATGGTCTGTGTGTGCGTGTGCGTGCGTGCATGCATGGTGAGGAGCTGCCCAGCACACAACGGAGGGGAAGACGGGGCCACACAAGAGGGCAAAGCCCATCAGCTGCCAGGAGAGGGGTAGTTAATCCCCCCGTAGTGGCCCGTTCTCATCGGGGAGTCAGTAATCGCCTGTTGCCTTCCAGCAAGCAGCTCCCTCAGGATATGTGCAGCCGCACCAGGGCCACCCGTGCTGGCTTGGGCATGCAGAATTACCCCGGAGACTTCCAGGGGGGTAAAACCATCCCCAGTGGTGCAAAGCTACTTGGGGGGAAGGGCTTATGGCATGCATCTGCACGAGTGTCCAGGCCTGTACAGTCAGTCTCCGATACCCTGCGTGACCTTTGACTGGATCTGGCTCCTCCCCTGAAGGTGCCTCAGTTTCCCCAGCTCCCAAACCAGGGCCTGGGAGCCCACCCCCTCTGCTCTGCTCGGTTTAAGAGGAGGGAGACGGTCTCTCCGGCTCGGTGTTCTTGATTCAGGCCGCCAGGGCTTGGCGTGACGAACGTCTCCTGTCCGCAGCGGACGCAGGGACCCTGGCCAAGCCCGAGGGAGAGTCTGCAGGGCGGGGATGGAGCTGGGTGGGGCTCGAAGGCCCGATCCTGGCCGTGCGGGTGGACACGCGCTAGGATGCTTGTGCGGATGCCCGGAGCAGCCGGCTCTAGCACACGTGGGCAGGGCTCGGGCAGCCGGGACGCCCCCAGCTTTGAGGCTCGGGCTCCTTCCTGAAGTCACCTCAGGGGGTCGTGCGCCCGGGGGGCTCTGTCGCCCCCCACCAGCATCTGCTTGGGGCTTGGGCGCCCGCGGGCTGCACTTGGGCTTTGCTGCGTCCGCGTTGCCCGTGCTTGCTTTCCGCTCCGGGCTCCATCCCGTCCCCAGGACCCTGTGTCACGGCTCTGATGCCTGGCCCAGCACGCCGCGAACTCGTGCTTCCCGCAGTGCCTGGGCCCCGCGGCGAGGAGAGGATGCAAGGGCTTTGCTCTCGGCTCTGCCACTGGTGTGTGAGGTGGCCTTGGGCACATCACTTCATCTCTGCAGGGAGCCTGGCTGCATTTCTGATGGGCATGGCCATTTATTTGGGACGTAGCAGGGGGCAGGGCAAGGCTGTCTGCCCATGGGTGCCTTGGTCGCCTTCGAGGCGAGCGCTGGATTCTCCGGAGGGGCTGGAGGTGCGTGACAAGAGGGAGCAAGGAGGTGGCTATGGGGCCATGGAGCCGATGCCCGGGTCCCGGCCTGTCTCCTCATCCCCTCCTGGGAGGAGACGGGCAGATGAATGACCTGTTTCCTTGCCGGTGCCCCCAGCCCCACGGCTGCTCTACCCAGCGAGCTTTTCCTAGTTTCTAACGAGCGCTTCCCTCCCTGTGCTTGTCCGTCCAGGGGTCCAAGCCCGGGACAAGCCCCCCGACGATGCTGCAGCCCCGGCCCGGAGGCGAACGACCAGCGAGGGCCAATACGAGAGCGGGGGCCAGGACGCCAGCCCGGCGCGGAGCCCCACGGCCCGGTCTCCCGTCCACTGCGTCTCGCCGGAGGTGGTCAGCACCATCGCTGCCAACCCAGGAGGAAGGCCCAGAGAGGTACTTTGGGACCCCCTCCCCAATTCCCGGAGCTGTGGGCCTGGGGGGATTGGGGCTGGGTGGGGAGGGGGATGAGATTTGGGGCTGACCGTCTCTCCCACGCCGCTCCGCAGCCTCACCTCCACAGCTACAAGGAAGCCTTCGAAGAGATGGAGGGGATGTCCCCAAGCAGCCCACCCTCCAGCGGCGGTGAGATTTCCCCCCCAACCCCTGCCTTCCCCGTCTCGCCACAAACCCTATACGTTAACCTGAGTAAGTGCCACGGCTCGGGAGCCGGGGATGGGGCGGCGCGGCGCGGCGACCCACGTGCCAGGGGCCCACCGCCATTTCAGCGCTTTCCGCCCAACCTGCTCTGTCTCCTCCACTTCCAGCTCCTTTCATTTCTCCAGCGGCTCTCCAGGACCCCAAAGATGGGGTGGGGAGGACTGGGAAAATGCAACTTTCCTAGGATCCTGAACGTGGCTTCCTCCGGGGCAAGTCGATGCTATGCCCGGCCCTATAATATACCCCCAGTGCTCGGTGCTGGCCCGGCACGTGTCCCCCGAGGGCAGGAGCTGACTCCTTTGAAAGGCTGACTTGTTTCTGTCCGTCTCCCTGCTCTCTCCGTCCTGGGCCAGCGGCCACGTCTGGCCGCACAGGCCTGCTTAGATGCTCGCCAGCCCGTGTGACGCTGTCCTGCGCTCTGGTCTCTGCCCTCTTCCACCCCGCTTGCTCCCTAGGTGCCTTGGCGGTGGGCTCCAGCCGCCGCGCTCCGGGCCGTGCCGGCGTGGGCCATTGCAGCGGATCAGCGAGTGACCAGCAGCCGGCCTCCTGCTTTGGCGGGGCTCTTTGGTGGGACCCTTGTGGGACCAGCGTTCCCTCCTGGCCCGTGTCTGGTCATCCCGGCACCAGTCCAGGGTCCCCATTGCAGGACCCTGGAGCAGTGGCTTTTAACTCCATAGGTGCTGCTCTCTCCCCTCCCACCAGCTCAGGCTGGGGGCGATGCCCCTAGGCATCAAGATGCGGGGGGTAGCAGTGAGGTTGAGAAGCCCCCTGGGGCATCCTGGGTGTTGCCTTGTCCTTGCCCAGCTGCAGTACCCCTCAAATTCAGCCCCCCCAGATATCTGAGCTTTGCGTATGGAGCTGGACAGCCGGGACAACTTTGGTTCCCCACTGAGTGAGCTCGTGGGTCTCGAACCCCTGCACCACACAGTCGCACATTAGCAGCCTGCGCTTTCCTGGTCGCTCGCTGCATCCAGCACATTGCTGACACGGCCGCGGAGACACAAGCTCACGGGGTCCGGCTTGTCTCCGTGCCCGCCTCCCCGCCCCGCGCTGCCAGCGTGGGCGCCCTCCTGAGCCGTCCGTCCGTGCCCAAGAAGGCGAAGGAATGTGCGGACTTCATTTGTCTCCTTCGTTATGCCTCTCGCTGACCTCGTGGGCTGAGGTCTCTCCTAGAAAGCCGGGATTGTCCGGAGCTGGTAACGCAGCGTCAGGGAGGGAGACACCCGCGGGAAAGGGGTGGGAGGAAAAATGCCCAGATCACATCGAGCCCTTTCTGCGAGACTGGCTGCAACACACACATCTCCCGCGTCCATCCGCACCTCGTCCCTGCACGCCCTGGCCGCGTGTCCGTACCCAGCACGTATGCCCATGTTGACATACCACATGCCATTCGTTGCTGATGTGTGTTTGGTGGCCCGCGTGCGTGCGTGCGTGTCTGCACGGACTGCATACATCCGTGCCCATTTAGCTGGCTAGTCCTGATGTGCGTCCTGGTCGCTGGAAGTGCTTTTGTCCACGTCTTCATTTCACGGGCGCGGGTTGGCGTCTCTGCTGGAAGGACTTTGGGAGGGTGGTGGGATTTTTGGGTGAGGGCGGGTCTGGAGCAGGGTCGGGTCGGGGATTGATCCTGGTCCCTTTGCCCGGGCGTCCGGCTTTGTGTCGGGGTGACCCAGAAGCCAGGACTCCTGCAGGTTGCGCCTGGGGTGGGGGAGGTTGTATGACCGTTGCGTGCCTCAGTTTACCAACCCGTCCCAAATCTCCCCTGGTGTCCGGGGGTGCTTCGGGAGGGGATGTCCATCTCGCTCCCCAGGGGATTTGCTTGCGCTGGCAGCTGGGCCAGCAGGCTCGAGCCAGGCCGACGTGCCTCTCGGGAGCTGTTATGCCCGTTATGCGTAACACGCGGAGCTGGCTGTAAACGCGCCGCCGGGGATTTACGGAGCTTTACATTAACAGCTTGCTTCGTGCTCTCGTTTCTCCCTGCCCGCAGTGCGCTCCCCGCCCGGCCTGGCCAAGACCCCGCTCTCCGCCCTGGGCCTCAAGCCGCACAACCCGGCGGAGATCCTGCTCCAGCAGACGGGAGGTGAGTGAGCGCCGGGGTCGCGGAGGCTGCTCTGGGTGCCGCGTCTCCCAGCGCGGGCGGCGTGTGGCTGTGCTACCCACTGCTACGGCCGCAGGCACATTTCTAGGGGTAACGCGCGTGGTGGATGCATTTCCATGGGTGACACGCGTGGCGGGTACATGTCCACGGGTAACATCCATTGCTCATCACGGTGACTAAAGTTCAAGCTGGACTGTGATACCCGTGTTGCTGCCAGCGTTGGTGCCGTGCCGTGGAGGGACCTGGTCGAAGCAGGCTGTGCGGCTGGCAGGGGCTCTCCGTGTGTCAGCCGGGGGTGCTTTCAGCTGTCCCACAGCCTGGGAACTTGACCCTCCCGTCCCCAGCTGTTGAGGTCTCCTTCCCTTCTGCTCTCGCTTCCCTGGGTGCAACCCCTGTGGGCAGAGGGCGAGACCCCTTCATGGGCTGAAGCCATGGGATCGGCGCTGCATTATCAGGAGGCTTTTCATGGGCACAGGTCCAGATCTGGGGTGCAAGGAAGCCCTCCAGCCCCAAATTGAAGGGGTGGGGGGCTGGATTAAAGAGAGAGCATGCCTGTCTCTTCTCAAGAGAGTCACAAAGCTCAGCCTGAGTGCAGCTAGTATTCAGATCAGGCGATGGAGATGCAAACCGTACTCATGCCAGCAGCTCGGAGCCCTTGTTCAGTTCTTCCCCACTTCCCCCAGGTTTATAATCATCTCTGCACTCATTAAGAGCATGCGTCTATCTGCAACCCGATGGGGTGCATGTTAACTGCAGGGGTTGATCAGGAAGCTCCCTCCCCTCCCCCCGCCTTCATTAAGTGAAGAATTGGGGACAAGTTCTTAACGATGGGTTAACTGGGAGGTTTGGACTCTTAGGGCTGGTCCTTAAGGGGTTGCTTTGATGGTGTGGCTACAGCCAGGCGCCTAAATGAGCGCTTTCTTGTTTGCGTCAGGAAAACCCCTGGAATTTGGCTCTGCAAGATTGCCTAAAATGCCTTCCAACCTTTCCCTAGGGGAGGAGGTGTGCAAGGTGGAGGCACACGTACCACGGCCTCTGATATGTTCCTTGCGTGGGGAGCAGCTGGCGGAAAGGTCCCCTTGCCGGCTTCTATGTTCCCTTCCTAATGCTGGAGCAAAGGGACATTTGGGGGTGGCTTTACTGGGTTTCTGCAGGACATTCGGTGGCTCGTGGCTGCTCCCAGTGCCTAACGAAGCGTGAAAAGTGTGTGTGTGCGTGTGCTTGTGCACAGCAGGTGCTTTCCTCTTTCTAGAGCAATTCCATTCACGTGTGCACACGTGTTAGCCGAGGTGTGAAAGCAAAGGTGCTAACTCAGCTCTCTCTCTCTCTTTCTCTCTCTCCTTCTCCCGCGTCTTTCCATGTCTTTCCCTCATCCCCCACCTTCTCCCCCTCTTCAGAGCTAGCTGGGGAGACGGTAGTTGACACAGATGAAGGTAAGAAGGGATTTCCCCGTCAATGCACTCGTGGCTCGGGCCGTTAAAGCAGAGACACTTGGCTGTGTGCTGACAGATCACAAGGGTGTGCAAAACAAGGGGTCTTTTGCAGGGTTTTACCCTGGGAGCTGGACACGGGGGCTAATCTCTCAGCAAATATCCCTGGGCCATGCAGCCCGTGAGTGGCTGTCGTATCAGAGCTTCTGCAGGGGATGCGGTTGAAAGCCGGCAACGTGGCACCAGGGGTTTATCCTGCCACGGCGGAGGCTGAAGTCTTTGGAAGATGTGCCTGGAGCCCGTGTCTAATGGGTACCACCCGCAGTGCCATCGAGCTGCTTCTTGAAGCCACGTGGCCTTGTTATGGGGTGTCGCGGGCAGGCTAATTAGCAGGGGTAGGCTAATTAGCCTGCCCTGGACATGCAAGGCAAAGGGTGATGTGAAGGTGTGAATGGCCCAGTCTGTTCAGGAGCTCTTTGTTTTCAGCCATTGCCCCTTATTTTGCGCAGCAGCTTTTAACCCAACAGTGAAGCTGCCTCGGTGACTTCTGAGGGGGTTGCAACCACACCGCGAGCTCTTGCCATGGGGGGTGATTGAGTCCTGCCTCTGGAGCCTTGTATAAGTCTCTCTTTTTTTTTAAATGACGTTTCTGAGAATGGCTTGAAAAGCATCATTTGAAATTCCAGCTGATTTCAAGGAGAAAATGGGCGTTTTTGGGGTCGTCAAAAGGAATTTTTTCCATCTTTCTTATTGATTTCCCTGATGTCATCAGCCTTAACCATTGGGCGGGTGGTGGAGCACTGGAACAGGCTCCCCAGAGCGGTCGTGCAGCCTCCATCCTTGGAGGTGTTTAAGACCCAGGTAGACAAAGCCTTGGCTGGGATGATGTAGTTGGGGCTGGTCCCACTGGTTGCACTAGATGTGACCCCCTGCCACCCCTCATTTTCTATGAGTCCATTGCAAGCACAACAATCCCTCTTCTCTCCAGCTCCGAATAGGACCCAGGTGCTTGTAGTAACCAGCTCCTTCCCTGCTCTTCACCGCGTCCTGCCCCATTGCAGTGGTAGGATGCTGGTGTCCGCAGGGCTCTTCCCTGTGGCTTGCTATGATGCAGGGTTTTGTCCTGTCTGTCCCGGTGCCTTGTCGCTGCGTGAAAGGGTTTGCAGTGGGCATTTTGAAGACTGCTTTGATTGCTGACTGCTTGTTTCCAGGACTCCAAAGAAAAACAAGGGAAAAGGCATCATTTTAATAATCTCCTGATTTTTAAGCCAAGCAGAACCTGACTCCTGCTGGTTGAACGTGTTGAGTGAGGAGCAGCAATACACAACAGGGAGTTTCAGCAGAGCTGGTTGAGGTTTTGGGGCTGTTATAGGAAAGTTCTGCAGGCTGTAGGGCACTGGGATGTGTTTGGCAGCCTGGCGTGGTACGCGGAGGCACAAAGTTGTAGAGAAGCGGGTTGGACGTGGACCTCCCGAGGTGCCGTCCAGCTGATCCTATCACACTGGAATTATCCACGTTATAGAAACGCATTATTCTGTTGGTTGCAAATGCCCCCTTTCCCCCCCTAAAACTCCCCTCCCCAAAATGACTTGTCAGCGTTAATAGCTGATAGTCAGAGGGGAATACCACCGCGTGCGACGCCTGGTCTAAACCTCTCCTGGCCGTGCCGTGGGTCCAGCAAAAGGTCACCTGCAAACAGCTGCAGTGGAGTCAAAACGCTTTGGGCTTTTGAAGGTGGTTTTATTTTTCCTTGAAGCCATTCCCCGTAAACTAGAGACCCGAGGAAGAACCTCCCGCGTTCAAAAGCTTGTCTGTGATTCTCCCGGCTACGAGGCTCGTCTGATTAACGAGGTGGACCTCAGAAATCCTTGCCTCCACAAGCAGAGCATTTCAAGGACGTTTTTATAGAGTCATAGAAAAATGAGGGCTGAAGGGAGCTCAGGGGGTCACATCTAGTCCGACCCCCTGCTCCCAGCAGCACCAGCCCCAGCTACATCATCCCAGGTGAGGCTTTGTCTACCTGGGTCTTAAACACTGCCAAGGATGGAGACGCCACCACTTCTCAGATAACCTGCTCCAGTGCTTTGCCCCGCTCCTCATGAGACAGTTTTTCCTAATATTCAACCTCAATGTCCCTTGCTGCAGCTTGAGCCCATTGTTTCTTGTCCTGTCACCTGCCTCCACTGAGAACAGCCCAGCTCCATCCTCTTTGCAGCCCTCCTGCAGGGAGCTGAAGGCTGCTGTTCAGTCCCCCTTGGTCTTCTCTTCTGCAGACTAAATCAACCCATTTCTTCCTTGGGTCTTGGTTTTGCTCTGTGATTTCTATGAATGGTTTGGCCATGACCATCGGCTCGGGTCTACTGGGCACAGGGCAGGTACCATAATCCCCAGTTCCAGCTGGGGAAACTGAGGCAGGCGTGCTGGGGGTGGGAAGGGAGCAGCTTTTAGGTGGGTTGCGAAGCTAGGCAGGGGACCCGTGCCTCTTCAGTGCGTGCCCTTGCACTTTCCTTTCCCTCGTGACTGATCCCCGTAAATACGGGCGAGGGTACGGAGCTACGCTTGGCAAGAAGCAGTTTAAAGACAGTTTCAAGGAAAAATAAAACCACTTGATAAAAACCCCGAAGCATTTTGACTCTTGTGGCTGTTTGTGGGTGGCATCTTTTATTGGCTGGGAGAGATTTAGACAAGGTGTTGAACGCGGGGCGTTCTCTGACCATCAGCTGTTAGCTTTGCTTGGGTGTTGGGGACACGTTCTAGGGGGAAAGGAAAATTTGCCAAGAGTTTTGGAGGGAGGAAGGGAACAAAGAGGCTTTGTTTGCAATCTGTAGGTGCCCCGAGACTTCAGGCATTTTTTTGCAAAGGAAGGGCTGGGTTTTTCCATCTTGCTGGAAACTCAATTGACAGCGAATGCTGCAGCTGCCATCCAGCACGAGAGCTACCGGGGGGCGGGGGGTAGCGGCGAATGCGCGGCGCAAGGCCAGGAACAATTGAGATTGGATCATGGCTTGGCTTCAGGCTCCTTGGGTGTCCTTGGCAATGGCTCGAGGGTGTTGCAACGATGGGAAGCAGCATGTGCTGGGCTTGGGAAATACAATCTCGGGGGTCAGGATGCAGCCTGGCTCTTCGGGGTTTAGGTGCTGGGTTCGTCTGGGATGGTTTGGGCAGGGGGTTGATCTAGATGGACGTCCCTGCCAGCCCTGCTGCTCTGTGGTTTCTTGCCCTGACTGTCAACTCCGCTGTAGCAGGCACAGGGCAGGTACCATAATCCCCTGGTTTCAGCTGGGGAAACTGAGGCAGGCATGCTGGGGGTGGGGAGGGAGCAGCTTTCAGGTGGTTTGCAAAGCTAGGCAGGGAACCCATGCCTTTTTTTAGCACGTGTCCTCACCCTTTCCATGGGAGATCTGCCCATGGAAAGCAATGGGAGATCTGCCCATATTCAGAAAGGGAGTAAAATAATAAAGTTTATCTAGTTTAATGATAACTACAGACATCTCCCAGCCCAACGCCAGGGCGTGCGCCGATCAAGCGGGTGGAGAGCCCCAATTGCTGCCCGCAGGATCGAGGCCCCATCCGCCAGCCCTGCTTCTGCGATTCTTCTTTCACTTCTAGGTCTCCCCGCTCCTCGTACGAGTCCCTCTTGGAGTTGGGTGAAGACGCTGGTTTTTTGGAGCCTCTCCCAACCTGACTCGTGGGTGTAGATGGGCTAATTTTAGGCCGGGTGGGGAGTGGAAAATATCCACCATTGCAAGGCAGCGTCAAGGAGCTGCCCTTGCAAAAAGTGCCAGGGAAAGGCTCGGCCAGGATGTTTCCACTGGCAGGGAACGTCCTGCTCTCGTAGAGCCGGGGCCGTGGGGCTGGTCCTGTTAGGTGGGGTTGAGCAGACCCCAGGAGACCCTTCCCCGTGTCGTAGGTAAGCGGCGTGGAGAGTAGAGCCATCCACGTGAGGCTAGATGAGCCACGGCGAATGCTTTGTGGGAAGGTCCTTGCTTTGGCCACGCAGATGCGGGACCCCCCCCAGCTCTGTTTCTGATTAGGCCTTTGCTTTGGTTTCCGTCGCAGGAAAACACGTGCTGGGAGGCATCTGCATTGTGCATGGGCGGGTGGAGGCTCCCAAACCTCGAGCACGGGGATGCACGGGGCTGGCACGGAGGAGCATTGGCACAGGTTGAGTCCGTGGACCCGGCCATAGGTGGGGGCCGGACGTGGCGCCCCTGGCCTCTCTCCGGCTTCACCCCCCCTTGCTTTCCCCCCAGAACCCAGGAGCTACGTGGAGTCGGTGGCGCGGACAGCGGCAACGGGCGGTGGGGGGACACCCCCCAGCCCACCGGCCCCGCAGGGCTACGACGTGGACGCGCCGGTGAGGAACGGGACCTTTGCCGGCGCCTTTGCTGCCCCCAGCCCCCTTTCGACCAGCAGCCCCATTCACAGCGTGGACGGGTAAGCAGCCGGGCCGGGCTCCCCTTGCTGCCCCGCGGCCGTTCGAGCCGCTTGCCGGAGCTTGGGGTAGGATCAGGCGCTGCATTGGCAGCTGGTCTGATGGTCTGGATGGGACCAGGGTGCTAGCCCAGGGGCACTGTGGGATATCCCCTCCTTTCTTGGAGGCCCAGCTGGTCAAAAACCCCTAAGCTGCCCATCCCCATGGCCTCTGGGCACCGGGGTTATGAAGCTTAAGGCTCTCTGCAGCCCTGACCCCACCCCAGTAAAGGGTTATAGGACGGCATCCCCGTCCCAGGGCCGTCCGCCGGGGTCTGGACAGCCCATGGCTAGCAGAGGGCACCGTGGGGCTGTGCTCTGCTCTGGAGAGACATCGCCGCTCCTTGCCTCAGTTTCCCCATGTTTCCAAGCAGGCTCTGGGGGGCCTGTCGGGCAAAGAGCTCCATGCAGGCCGGGGGGAGGAGGAAGAGGAGGGTCAGCCTGCTCTACGCTGTCCTTCGCAGGGTCTCCGTCCTCAGCTACCCGTCAGAGAGCAGCGTCCAGGGCCCGGCGGCATCCCTGCAGCCCTCGCCCGACTCCAGCTTCCTCGCGGCCGCCGCGTCGCAGGCCCCGTCGGCTCAGAGCAGCTACCAGAACGTCTCTCCGTCCTCCTTCGCCGCCGACTACCCCGCCGGGCGAGCCGCCACGCCGCCCGAGGCCCAGGCGCGGGCACCGGCCCAGGTGAGCGTGGCGGGCGTCCACGTGGTGCCCGGGAGCCCTCGTGCCCTGCACAGGACCGTGGCCACCAACACGCCTCCCAGCCCCGGCTTCGGGCGGCGAGCCCTCAACTCCGGCATGGTGGGCGCGCCCGGGAGCCCGGGGCTGGGCCGACACGCCGTGGGCCCCCAGGGCAGCCCCAGCCTGGCCCGGCACCCCGCTGGCAGCCCCGGCTTGGAGCGGCACGTGATGTATGGCTACGGGACCCCCGAAGAGCGGTGCCCCACACTGTCCCGGCAGAGCAGCACCTCGGGGCTGCAGGGGCCCTCCACGCCCTCCTTCCCCGTATCGCCGGCCTACTACCCCGGCCTGAGCAGCCCGCCGTCCTCCAGCCCGGACTCGGGCACCTACCGGCAGGGCAGCCCCACGCCGCAGCCCGCGCTGCCCGAGAAGCGGAGGATGTCGGCGGGCGACCGTGCCCACAGCCTGCCCAGCTACGCCACGGTCAACGGCAAGACCTCCTCGCCCGTGTCCAGCGGCATGTCCAGCCCCGGGGGCGGGAGCACCGTGGCCTTCCCCCACACCCTGCCGGACTTCTCCAAGTTGTCCATGCTAGGTAAGGACTCGGGCTCTCGGGTCTGGTTCCTGGCTCGTAGGGCTTTGCTGGCTGCCCCGTGGCACCAGGAAGGGATGCTTCCCCCTCCTCAGCGTGGCCCGGCCTGGGGGGTGTCCCCTCGCTGTGCGGTGATCCTGTCTGAAATATCAGGGGTATGGGATGATAGTCAGGCTGGAAGGGGTTGCACCTAGTCCAGATCAGGCCCGACTAAACCGTGTCCCTCCAACCTGCTCCTGGATGTTTCTGAGGCTGGACACTGCATCGCTTCTTGGGAGAGAGCCCCTCCTCATCCCCTGCCTCAGTTTCCCCTGCCGCTGCTTGAGGCCACGGCTCCTCGTGCCATGTCCCATGCAGTCTCCCCCTCCCCTCCCCGCGGCGCATCTCGCCTGCGATGGCCATGGAGCGGGTCGTGTGGTCCTTGCTCAAGCATAGCTCCCAGTCAGGTCGCTGGCAGGGTCTGGGGGGGATCTGATGGACGTCGATGCCTATCCTAGATAGCTACCGTCCGGCTGGTGCTCTGCTCCAGGGCTCGCGTACAGCACCCTGGTCTCTGCCCCGTCAGCTCGCCTCCCTCCTGCCCATCCAGTCCCATGGATGAGCTTCCTCCGGCCCATCCTCCCCTTGGCCGCGGGGCCCTTGCCCTGCAGCTCGCGGGGCAGCTGGGGACAGCGACCTACCCCCTGGGCTCCTTCCTTGTGTCCACGTAGGCGATGGCTCGGGGGCAGAGGTCCCATCCGGTGTTTTTATTCTTCTGAAAACAGCTCTCAGAGGATCAAAACAGGAAAGTGCGGAGGAGAAGCAAAGGCAGAAACACCCCAGTTCAGGGATGGAGGAGAAGCCAGGGGTGCTTGCTCTCCAGGCCTCCTTGCATAGAGGATCATAGATCCACCAAGGACCGGGGAGGAAAGGGGCGCGGGGAGCGCTGGGGCAGGGGGCGAGGGGCACGGCCTCTGCACCAGCCCTGCCGGGACCGCAAATGCTGGAGGAACGGGGGAAACCCCTGCTCGGACCCGGGCAGTTGCCCGCCAGCTCCTTTGGTTTCTTCCCTGAAACCTTGGGGTTTCTCTGGAGCTCGGGGGCACCCTTCAAAGGATCTTGCATCACCTGGCTGCAGGTCCCCGGTTGAGAAGAGCTGGTTTAAAGAGAGAAACGGGGGGAAAAACCCTGGCCAGGCCCCGTTTTTTCTCCCTTGATCTCATCCATGGGCTGCTTGCCTTTTCCACCCTGCCCGTTTCCATCAGGGTCCCGGCTGCAGCCTCTCCCCCCCGAGCCGGCGCCCACGTAGCAACCAGCAAAACACTGGGAAACAACACGTCGACGGGGTGGGGGACCGGGAGGTGCCCGATTGCGAGGCCCCGCTCGTGCCTTCAGTCTCGTCGCCCGGTTGTGGAGGTTTCCCTGCTTTGGGAGCATCGGGGACTCGGGAGCTTTGCCGGCTTCTGCTGGCTCGGAGCAGCCCCCCCCAAAACCTCCTGGTTTGCAAGCTGTCGTGCCCCCGGTGCACCGGGAGGACTGTTACGGCCCCGCTGCATGAAGGTGTCAGCCCACGGGCTCTGGAAATTTCGGCTGCGTGGCTAGTGCTGGGAGGAGAGGAGCCTGGGTTCGGGGTCTGAACGGCGCCTCGGTTTGGGAAGGTTTCCAGACAGATCCAGGGACCCCTGGGGTGGGGGGCTGCATGTCTTTTGCTGCGTGGCCTGATTTTTCTCTCCGTCCCCCCACCCAGACAGCAGCCCCGAGACCCGGGCGAACGTCAAGTTTGTGCAGGACACCTCCAAGTACTGGTACAAGCCGGAGATTTCCAGGGAACAGGGTGAGTGGGTAGCCGAGGCCAGGCTGGGATTTATTTGCCCCGCTTCTCCGGGCTTGTCCACCCAGAGCCCTTCCAGAGAGGCCGACCCTGCTCGGTCTCCAGCCCCCCTTGGCCGGTCACGTAGCCGCCTCGTGCCTCAGTTTCCCCTTCTGTCACAGAGGCCGTGCACTGCACCGCGGCGGGGGGTGCGAGTGGATCTGTTGCAGGGTTTGGAGATGCTCCAGTGCCAGGGATTATAGATCAGTGCCCCAGATGGGGCCAAAAGAGGAGGGGAAGCTGCTGGGGAAGGAATGAGGAGTCTGGGTGCTTCATGCCCCGGACTCCGGCAGGCACCAGCAGACCCCGCGGTGCTGCACAAAGGCCTGGCATCGCACTCACGGCTCTCGTCCCCATCCCTGCAGCCATCACACTGCTGAAAGACCGGGAGCCCGGGGCCTTCATCATCAGAGACAGCCACTCCTTCCGCGGGGCCTACGGGCTGGCCATGAAGGTGGCGTCGCCTCCGCCCACCGTGGTGCAGCAGAACAAGAAAGGTATTGTGTGCGTGCATGTGCGTGCATGCATATGCGTGCATGTGTGTGTGTCCCACGGCCCCGGGCACGAGCCAAT